ACCCGTTGAACAGTGCCGTTGAAATTCGAATGTGTCTTTCCGACTCGTCTTCGGTGACACGAAGATCGACTAACCTGCCTACTCGGAAGAGGGGAGGTTTTGCGTGCGTCAGAGGCCAACTTGAGCTGTGCTCTAAGGGAACGAGTAGCTACTCGCCCAAGACATCTGTAGTGCGGTTCTGTAGCGTAACGGTAGTCAATATAAATGTAAGAGGTCGTTTCTTCCCCACCCTGGGTCCGGGTAATTAACGTTGGATTTAATCTCCTCCTTACGGTCTCTGCTGCCAAGAAGATATGAGAGGAAGAAACGTATTCACCGTCAAGTCAACATAAGCTACTGCAGTGTGTACATGAGAGAGCTTTGGGGAAAGTACTACCTAATTGATCGGTAGTCAACCAACGTGGTGAAAGTACCGCCTTGTGCCGCTGCAACTTTGATACTGAAGAGAGACACTAAGAACATACCGTGGCAGATCTTGGATGGCAAGACGCTTATCATACCTAGTAGCAAGTCCAGCGAGCGTCAATGTCATTCTCGCCAGTACTGCACTATTCAGCTAGTCTTGGTTTGACCGCTTCGAAAAGCCAGACCATTTCCACTTCATGCACTGCTCGAATCATGGTCAGCTGACCAAGTGCACCGCACAAGTTCGTTGCAGATAACGGCATCGAGCTCATGTCCGGCGGATATTTTGTGGAGACCACGGCCGCAAAAAGACGGCCAACAGATCCTACTTCGCCATGAGCTCCAATAGCTGTCCGACCTCCCTAGATACCGTGTGATCCGGTCGTCGAATGGAGTTACCGAATGAATGGCTCGCAAGTGACATGGCAGCATTGATAGTTGCCACACGAGGTGGCCACCCATTCGGGCGACAGAAAGACAAGCTGGAGCCGCGCTGAACCACTCGCCACGTGGCTTGGGGGAAGTCTGTCAGAATGAAACCCTGCTTGCATCTCACTTGGGGTTTTCAAGATTCAGCGACCCGAAGTTCTGGTTCGGAGGATGGTGGTACCGAGGGGGAGGCTACTTGAATGTGACAGACAGCTTCGGCGCCGACAAATGGTAGGCTTCGATGAGACGTACGTCGCTTATGAGCTGAGATGGCTTGTTTTCACCTTGATCCGTTCAAATTATAACTGAGAACGACTTTATGGGATAGAATTTGAGCTACAGACTGACATGGATACGAGAGAGAACAGAGAACTAATTACGCCAAGGTAGACCGTATAAGCGACGCAAGAAGTTGCTAGCCTCAAGCTGCAGCAATAGGCTCACGGAGAACACATAGTCTAGTCTATGGATGGGCCTGGCCAAGTTCCTGTGAAGTCGCTTGTTCAAGATGTCGACTGTGGCTTGCATGTTTTCAAAGATTGGGTGTACAAAACATCTTTCTTTGAGATATCCGCATAGAACATTGCATCACCAGTAGTCGTGACAGCTCCAGCTCCACGTGCCACACAGCTGACTTTTGGTTCTGCAGTCCGGGGGTGTCCCAGGAGGTTGGCAGATGTGTGTGTGTGTGGCTTGCTTTAGGCCAAAATTGCTTCCCGGGGTGGTGTGGACGATGCGTGCCAATCAGAGCCGGTTGCGCAAATGGCATTGTTTAGTTTCATTTGATCTTTTTTACGGCAAAATTGCGAACTGTTCGTTTAGACTTTCTATATTGATGTGACCATGGGGTCTCCATATTATCTACGGAAGAAATACCCATGAGGATGGGAAAAATGAATTGTAGCCATATATCCTGATTATAGGTAGTCAACCTCATTCTTAGTCGTCAGAGGAATTACAATTGATCACAATAACAGCGAGGATAGGTTTGGACTTGTGGATAGTTCAGAGTTGACGGAAGGGAGGGGGTGCCTCGGAAATGCCGTCGCGGCGGCAGCCTTTGACCTGCGTGCCTACAAGTATGATGCTACGGGATACCCTGACCTTGCCAGGCAACTCGTGACGGATTGTTGGTGCAGCTGCAGCATCGGCCAGAAAAAGCTTGACTTTGGTCAGAGAGGAGAAGTTGGATATCGAGTGGCGCAGAGCGGGGAAGCAGGGAGAAACATCTGGGGAAGTGGCACTAAAACCCCGCACCTCAATTTCTCCGGCAAACTTGAACCGTTCGCAGCCCAGCGTGATCAAGACCAAGAAGCCATCCACATCCGTAGAAACTGCAGAATACCTTGTACCGTACTCGGGTCATCGGGATAATGCGCACGCGCGCCAATGAAACACGCATAAACGCCTTTCCCGACACCGAGCCGTCCCCCCCCCTGTTTCTCCATTCTCTCTCCCCAACTCCCCACCCCCCGGCATCTATGGACCATGGGGAATCTCTCCTCTTCCCCCAAGTTTTTCCCAAGGTCCCAACGTCGTCATCGCGTCCGGTCCGGCAACCATACCCCGGACTTTGTGTCTTTTCTTCCTCATTGCTGTTGGAACGTCGATCCAACCCACCAATCCAAGAAGGAACTTTTGGCCCGTTGTCCTAGCCGGCCCTGTTCCTGAAAGCTACCCAAGCACCAAACGTAGCCAACCACGCGCCAATTGTACCCCGCTCGTCCCATTGGAGAGGGTATCATCGCCGCCATTCTCGACCTCGCCGTCGGCCCAGCCTCGCCCTGCCCTGCTGCTTGTCCGGAGCTGGCTCCCCTGCACCTCACCTCAATTCATGAGCAATTGGATTACCTAGCTAGCTACCTTACACGGATACGCCTACCTTGGGACTTGCTCCGCACGCTCATACCCCGGCTTCCTGCATCTCGGCTCGCCCAACGTTACTTGCCATTGACCGCGAAAGAAAAAGCTTTCTCACGCTACGACTAGCTAGCTAGTCACTCATTAGCTCGGCCCAGCTTGTTTTGTTTGTCTTCTTCTTGCCGGGGCCAACCACCAAGCACCAGACACCAGACAAGCGAAAGGATTCCACCACCACATGTTCGTCTAGACGCTCCAGTAACATCATGCCGTCGCATCCAATCCGTTGATCGGCCCTTGCTACTGCTTCTTTCTGCCCTCGTCCTTCTCTTCTTCCCACGCGTCCGGGATACGGTGTACCTCTCCCCGACCCGTCATCCCCCTCACCCCAGAGTAGAGTGGAGCTGGTTCTCTGCACTCTGCGGCCCTGCTCTGCCATCCTCGAGCTGCATAACGTAGCTTCGTTGGTCCGATGATCAGAATCGTCCCATTCTTACTGCCATGTGCAAGTCTCTCCGCTCCTCTCGCATGAGGGGAGGAGCACCATTGCCATTGGGATATAAGCTCCCGCTTCATCCCACCTTCCCCTCTCACAGGCTCTGCTGTCCGTCCTCCCGTCATCATCCTCTGTTCTGGTCCGCCGTCCTCTGTGCTTCAATCCTCTGTTACCTTGCCTGGCACACCTACACGATGCGCTCAACATTCCTCCCTGTCGCCGTCGGAGCTCTGCTCGCCCCGGCCACCTCCCTCGCCCAGTTCGTTGGCGGATCCGGTGGTAATACCACGGCTCCCTCCTCGCTGGGTCCTGACAAGGACGGCAAGTACTGGATCTCCAGCGAACACATCAAGGCCGCCTTCATTCCCTACGGTGCCTCCGTCTCCGACTTCATCATCAACGACAAGTACGGCATCCCCCGCGACATTGTCGCTGGCTGGGACAACGCCACCTACTACGAGACGGATCGCCAGCACCCCCATTTCGGCGGTGTCCCTGGTCGCTACGCGAACCGTATCAAGAACGGCACCTTTGAGATTGACGGTGAGAAATACCAGATCGACCTCAACGACAACAATGGCCTCGACACCCTCCACGGAGGCTCTGACGGATGGGACTGGCGCAACTTCACCATTGTCTCCCACACCAACAACAGCATCACCTTCTCCTTCACCGACCCTGACGGAAAGGAGGGTTTCCCTGGCGAAGTGGTGTCGCTCATCACCTACACCCTCAACGGCTGGAACTGGGACTTCAAGATGATCGCCGTCCCCACCACCAAGAAGACGCCCATCATGCTCAGCTCTCACACCTACTGGAACCTCGATGGCTTCTCCAACAACGAGACCAGCTTGGCTCTCAACCACACCCTTCACATGCCCTACAATGGCCAGAGGGTGGGCGTTGACAACATTCTCATCCCCACCGGTGAGATTCTTGCCAACGAGAAGGGCTCCGTCAACGACTTCTGGAGCGCGCCCAAGCAGATTGGTGCCGACTTCTCCAAGCCCGAGCTCAAGAACAACTGCGGTTTCAACTGCACCGGCTATGGTAAGCATGGACCAATTCTTATCGCAGAGTGCACACATGAAAGCTAACCACACAAATATAGACAACTGCTGGATCGTCAACCGCAACGACCTGGGCCCCTACAACTGGCGCACCGAGGGCTACGTCGCCCGCATGCAGTCCGAGTGGTCCGGTATCCAGCTAGAGGTCTACACCGACCAGGACGCCTTCCAGATGTACAGCTGCAGTCAGCAGAACGGCTCCGTGGCCCTCAAGAAGAGCCAGGGTCTCTTTGACGACGCCAAGTTCCCCCGCATCATCCCCAAGTACGGCTGCGTCGTGCTCGAGGTCCAGGACTGGATCGACGGCATCAACAACCCCGCCTGGGGCCGCACCAAGAAGCAGATCTACGAGCCCGGCGGTGACCCGTACGTCCTCCAGGCCAGCTACCGCTTCAGCATCAACTCCACTTCCAGTTCGTAGGAGGCCTGCGATTGAGTGATGTTTTGGGAGTATAGTGCTGGAAGGGGGGGATGCGTGAAGAAAGCAGGATATTCTATTCACCTTCACATATTTAATGATACCATGAAGAGGGGATTTAGCATGAATGGCGGAATACCCGTCTGGATTAATGAACTTTATCGTAATCTACCTGATCGACCCGATGATTGTGTCTTATGTATGAACTGTTGCTGTAGCGAGGCCTCACCTCGACAACACCATGCTCCTACCCCCACTTCAAAGCCCATATACTACCCTTTCGTGCTGCCACCAAGCTGCCGCATCACCAACACCAGGCCCTTTAATACCACTCGTCACCCCCATACCCACCATCCAACTTTCCCTCCCCCTCCAACAGCCCCAACTTCTCCCTCACCCTCGCGACCATGGCCTTGCCGTACTCTGGCCCGGGAGGCGGCGCGGCTTTACTCCCGTCGTGCCTCAGCCACGGAACCTTTCTCGACGCAGCCGCAACCCCTTGTTCGACGACGGCGTTCTGAAGGGATTTTACGGCCTCCTCATCGAATGCGCCGCCCAGGACGATGGCGCGGGGCGGGGAGGCGTAGTGTCCGCTGCCGATTGCGCTGGTGTCTGGGTGCTGCGGCGGTGGAGAGGACGTCAGGAGGGCTGGGATGATGAGGGCTCCTGAGGCCGGGGTGGTGATGAAGTGGATTACTATTTGGGGGATTGTGAGCCTCAATTCTTCAGGACTCTCTCATCAATTCGGTCTCATAACTCGATCTCTCACTCTTTTTTTCCTTCTTTTTGTCCAATTCCGGGGGTTGGAATGCGCTGTCTTGGGAGCTTACCTTCATATTCCGGCTTCAGGCCCTCGATGACGCCGCGACCAATCGCCTCTGTCTTACCGCATAGAATGATCGGTATCGGGCCGGACGAGTCCTTGTGATCACCTTCTGTTGCTTTGGACTTGCTGTCGAGCATCTCGCGCAACGAGGGCTGCTGACGCCGCTCTTCGTCTGATTGGTTTAGGGCGTCTTGTTTCGCCTTGTGAGACCACAGCTGCATAGTTGGGGGAAACAGAAGAAGGTGCACCTCTATACAATCGGGCAAAACGAATGGTGCGGATGTGTCTGGGACTTGGAGATTTGGTCTCAGATTTGAATGGAGAGGGGGAGAGCTTTCTTCAATACCTATAAGAGGTTTTGCTTTCTCGTGGTGGTGTGGTTTCTGTTGTCTCACGTCAGACTTTGGGGTAGGTACTTCGGTAGTTTGATCCTACCGCGTTGAGCCGTTCGGATCCGGATCCGGGGGCTAGTGAAAGCCGACGTCATTTTGCGAGTGGTGCCTTGAAGGACGGATGTGCGGACGGGGGAAAAGGTAAGCCAAGCGGGCTCTTTCGGGTATAATTATAATCCGTCACTTTGCAGGTAATGTGTAGCATCTGAGATGACTTGGTTACGGCAGTGTTCATCTCGCAGTATGCTCTCTTTCATTGTAGTTTAATGGTTACTGAGCAGTGGTGAATGCAGAGTATAATTTAAATGTGTTAAGTATGTATATTATTGGTCTTGATATCGTGAAAAAGAGAGTGCACTAATTCGCTGGACGACTTTTGCTTCAGAAGAAAGACCAGATCTACGACATAAAACCTGAAGCAGGTCCAATTCAACATTAATTCATTACGAAAGATGATTTCGAACCCAACCTCTAGTTGGCAAGCCCGTTCTGCGCAAGGAAATCCTGGATCTTGCTAGTGACCTCGACGTGGGAGTAGCTCTGTCATGATGTGCGTTAGAAACTTTTCTCAAAATCATTTCAGCTCTAAAAAAAAACTTACAAATGCCAAGCCGTGGCCAGCATCGGGAACAACATAAGCCTCAAAAGAGCTCGCGTTCTTGATCAGCGGTGCAACGCCGGCCGGAATCGAAGGTAGCTTAGGGTTGCCAGTTGCAAGACAATCACCACCGCAGAAAGGAACGTCGCGTTCTAGAAAGGTCCAATCGTTAGCTCACACTGGGCTCCCCTTCCTATGTCAACTGGATAGGCTTCCGCATGTGCTCTCGAGACTTACCACCCGTGATGACAAGGACAGGCTTCTTGAACCCGCTCGTCGTGCCAGCCTCGCCGCCAATGGTGAGCAGCTCACCCACAGTCACCGGCTTGCCCGTCTTATACGCCGCCGTCAGGATGGCAGGGTCAAAGTTATCCGGCGCGAAGAAATTGATGTGCGCGCCGCCCTCGTACGCAGGCGCAAGGTAGCCATCAACGTAGTCGCTCAGCGCGGGAATCTGGTTCGCCTGGACGAAGGCCCCGCCCAGCAAGAAATCCGCGAGGAAGGTGGCGTTGGCGGAGAACCCCGTCAACACCAGACCGTCCGAGGCGTCCGGGTACATGGCGGACAGCGCGTACGAGTGGACGGAGCCGAAGGAGTGGCCGACGTGGACGTACTTGTCAAACGTGCAGGGAACACCCGGGACGGCGCCCGCGCGGAGCTTGTCGGTCAAGGCTTTGAGGGCGGCAAGCTCGAGGAAGCCCTGGATCTCGTTGACGGGTTCGCCGCGGGAGGACTGGGCGATGCCGAGGCGGTCCCAGGCGAAGGTGGAGTAGCCGTAGTCGTCGACGGCGGGGCCGACGTAGCTGTAGTTGTAGTTGTTGGCGGGGAAGTCCCAGTAGCTCCTGTCGAAGCCGATGCCGTGGGTGAGGATCTGGAGGACGGAGCCCGGGCCGGAGTCTGGTTGGCAGTAGGTTGAGGCGAGGTGGTATGTGCCTCCGACTGTTGCGTACTAGACGATGGACAAATCATGTTAACATTGTGTAATGTCTTTTGGTGTGTACTATGAGCTATGGATGGTGGGGGAGTCCTTACATCTGTGAGATGGGTTGCGGAGAAGTTGTTGCCCTGCTGTGCCAGGCCTAGCATGATATTTGTGACATCGATGTTTGTCTTTGGTGTTGAGACATTGAAGACGCCGTTCCGTGATGTGATTGACACTTCGACTGTGAGGTTCTGACACGACTTGGCCGCGGCAAGGGTCGCAAAAGCAACCGGGAGGGTTGCTGAAAGTAGCTTGACCATTTCGATGCTTAAGATGAACGTTGTGAGACTGTATAGACGGAGTGTAAGGGGGCGTCTTAGATTGAGTTGTCTTGGATCATGTCTAATAGCAAAGGGATGTGGACCAAGCCAGGCTGTTATACTTATACACTGGCAAACTGAAATGTTCTAATACCAACATTTTTCCGGGTACTACTCCATCCGCAACGGGAGCTGCGATTGTACGAGTGGAAAATCCTCATTTGCTCTCGCCCGCATACCCATCCACCCAACAAGGTAGCTTCAACCACGACCAGCACCATTTCCATCCACCTGGCACCTGCAGCCCATGATGTCAGCAAAGTAATTGTAATTCACGCCGTCTTAGAACCTCACTAGCGGGCCGCAACTCGCATAAAAAAATGGTGGCGTTCAGAGCACACATAGCCGCCCAAGCAAAGCCAAGTTTGGCTAAGTAAGCCTACCTAGCGAGGCGAGTTCGCGCGAGATCCCCTCGATCTTTCCAGTCCTTCTTTGGAGCTTCCGGGGGTTAGCTCGATGTGCCGAGCCAAGGCAAGAAAGCAATAGATAGCGTGGCGTGGGTTGTGATGTGTAAGGTACCGTACCCTCTTGGGTGCTTCTTCCTTTGCGATCCACCCAAAACGTTTGCTCCTCCACGACCGGAGTCACGGAGTTGATACATCCCATGGGCCGGAGCCCAGTCCGGCTCACCGCTAGGCCTCATGCACCGTTTCCGAAAGGGGCATTAGAGGCATCAGAGCAAGGTCCAAAAAGAGACCTGCATTCAAAAAAGTCTTTGATTGCCCCCAATCATGTCTGCCGCCGATCTCAATTGAGTTGTTGGGCGGAGTTATTACACGCAGACACACACGGCAGAGAAGACTCGATGTGTGTGGAAGAGAGAGAGAGAAAAAGAGCCCCCAGTCCCAACTCGTTCTACGTCCGTCTTAGCGGCAGCCCCAACCGAACGCCATCGATGTCAAGACATTGCGATCCCCGCCCCATGTTTGCCGGTCCGGTCTCCACATGAGCTTACGGATAGGCCCAAAACATGCAAACAATGGGCAAGGGTGTGGATGAGAGAAGGTCCAAGGAGAAGAAGCTTATGCAGAAGCTTCAGTCATCCGTTTTTTCCCTCCTCACCGGGGGTCAATTTTTTTTCTTCTCAAGCTGGGAGTATTTGTCAGTCATGTTGGAATCAAATAGGGTTATGTATGTCTGATGCTAACCATCCCACGTTGTTCGTCCACCGCCTTTGCCTCCCAGCCTCCCCCTCCGCATATCCATCTTCGGTCAAAGGTAAACGATGATAAGCGCCCGTGAATGGTGCTATGCAAGTAAGTGTAGGTAGGTATTTGGAAAACACATGGTGCCGAATTCTCCGCCACGACGCCACCACTGATTCGATTTAGCTTCTCGGAGCGGAAACGGCTACTAAGCATGGCACATACGGGGTTAGCAAGCAAGGCAGATTCGGAATCCCATCGAAATGGAATACCTATCTCACCTTCGGTAAGATGTGATAGCCCATCACCGTGACGTGACGACATCGAAGAAGGTGACGAGTCCAAGATACACTTCCACTCGCACACAATCACAATCTTTTGCACACCTTTCACCGATTTGGAACGAATCGCTGGGACCTGGCTGATTCAGCGGACGGCTCGGTTACAATCTCACGAGTGAGGTCGCCGCTTGCGTACACCTCGACGAATGAGAGTCCCATGTGCCATCCGAGAGAGCCCCGAGACATGCATTGCTCGCGTACCGTGATGGGCTTGCTGCCGGCGGTCGCTTACTCACGTTGTCCTCTCACTAACCATTTTTCGGGGAAGGCTAGTCTGTGAAAACCCTGATGTGTACTGGCAAACGATTTGTATTTGACGATTCTCAGTGAATCCCCCTGTTTGAGGACGAGACTCTGAGCGGATCTTTCTGACTACCCGTCTCCCAAGCGACTGAGGAAAAGAGTCCTTCCATCCTTTCTCCTGGATATGTGGGCTCGGTCGTCTGGCATCTTCGTGGCCTGACTGGTGTGGCCGCCCATTTTTAAACCCCCCTTAAAGATACTATGCAGACCGACCGCGATCCCATATCCATGCTGTCTGCGTAACGCCATGCTAATAATAAAAGTACATAACTGATTTCGACTTCGACTTTTCGATTGGTATTTCATCGCCCTTCCTCTATTTGGGCTCCGACGTATCCAGCTTATCGTAAGCCGCCTGCATGGCTCTCAGTTCGATTTCGTCACCCTCTAGGGCTGCCACCCAGTCTCGTACTTGGATGCCTTTGCCCTTTTCCTTATCCTCTCGCCAATTGCCAAGTCGTGCTCGGCCCTCAACGGTAAGCGCGTGGTTCGCCGGAGCAGGAGGACCCGAAGCGGCTGCGGCACCCGCCTTTCCGGGCGTGCCAAGTCTCGGCGTGCTGGCCCCACTGCCGCCTGTCATCCAAGAGTATGACTTGCCGCCTTTCTTCTTTCCGAAAAGCGATCCTGTCTTGGGCATTCCGACGAACATGCTACTCGTGATGTTTTGATTTGCATGGCTGCTAGCCTCTGCCTTCTTCACAGCATCAAGTTTCTTCTGTTCCTTCTTTGAGATAGCCTTCTCTGAGTCAGGTGCCGAACCGCCAGGAGTTCCAGGCGCAACGGATCCGGCACGTGATGGCGTCGATGCGACCTCTGCGGTTCCATCCTTTCGGGCGTTGCGCTTCCGTAGTCGTCTTTCCTCCCAGTCTCTCTCAGCCTTGCCTACTTCGCGGACTGTGTGACTCATGGTATTCGTAGCAGATATCTTCTGCACCTTGCTCGCCTGGCTGGAAGTAGCATCTTCAAGAGGGCCTGAATAAGAGTCAGTATGTTATATTGGCACGGAACACGTGTACACGAACGTTTCTGAGCGCTCGGGCGAGGACTGGCGCCATTCTCAGTCGCACTCTGCTGAGTTCCATCCTCTGTTTGCGTCTCCGGCGCGCTTTTCAGTGGTGCAGCCGCCACTTGCCATTCCTC